TTAAAGGCACTTTGGGATTTTAGTAAGACAATCCAGTTTTTCTGGAAATAACTTAAATGATTTTTGTTTTTTCTCCTACAAAGATACTTATAGTTACACTTTAACGGATGCAAAACTTTATAACTTGGTAAAATATTCATTCATTTGTAATGAATTGAGATTCTTAAAGAATCAAACTCTAAATGGAGAGTTTGTGATTTTAACACCGTTTCGATGAAACAATGCAGTTTTGATAACTTGACTTAACTAACATTACTTTTTTAAATATATGTTTTTTTAGATGACTTTACTGATTTTTGCTTTTTTCTGCTACCAAGATACTTTTAGATACAGTGTGTTGTCTGACAACTTTACAACTGGTAGAATGTCAATCACTGTGTAACAGACTGTGTAAAGACTGTGACTCTAAAAGACAAGTTTTGTGATTTTAACACTTTTTTACTGACACTAGGCAGATTTAGGCTTTTTTCTCTTGCCAAGATACTTTTAGATACACTTTGAGGTATGCAAAAAGTTAAAACTAGAAAAATAAAATACTTTGTCTAAATAGATGTTATTTAAGAATGTGACTCTTAATGGCAGCTTTTTGATTTAAGTAAGACAATCCAGTTAAACAATGTCGTTTTTGATGACTTTACTGATCTTTGCTTTTTTCTGCTACCAAGATACTTTTAGATACAGTTTGTTGTCTGAAAACTTTACAACTGGTGGAATGTCAATCACTGTGTAACACTTTTTATTTTCTTAAAGACTGTGACTCTAAAAGACAAGTTTTGTGATTTTAACACTTTTTTACTGACACTAGGCAGATTTTAGGCTTTTTTCTCTTGCCAAGATACTTTTAGACACACTTTGAGGTATGCAAAAAGTTAAAACTAGAAAAATCAAATACTTTGTCTAAATAGATGTTATTTAGTGGGAATGCTGATACAGCATTCCAACTATATGTTATGCTACGGACAAAATTCTTATTATTATTCCACCCACTTATTTTGGCCCTCTTCTCCTCCCACATTCAACATCGCAGAAACTCCGTTCAAACATCAAAACGTTCAGCTCGGTCGGGAATCGCAGGCTATTCCAGAGATACATCCCATAATTCATCACATTTTTAACATGGAAGTCAATGGAGACATTCTTCAGACTTCAACAAATCTTCATGCGACTTCAACTGCTAACTGTTCATTCATACTTTCACTCAGAAACCTCATTCCAACTTTCAAATGTTACACATCTTTCTGACATTATTCGTGTAACACAACTTTTAAATCTGATTCCTACTTTTAGAGATATTAAACATTGTTCAGACCTTGTTAAAGAGGTTTTCTTCAGATTTTAACATTAACTAGAGTGCATGATGTCACAGCTAGAGTGTGGGAATTCTTGAAATGTGCCTTCATATGTTTTTTTAAAACTGCCATAATTTCCAAACCCTACATTCTTGAGACATCATTTGTCATGACAAACGTAGGAAAACATCTCGTAGCTTGAAAAATGACAAATAATTAAGCAAAATAATTAAACAAAATGCCTCTTGAGGGCATGAAGTGACAAAAACGTTCAACATGTCTCCATTAAAGCCCATTGTAATTTCAGGCAGATATTTCCTCACAACAGCAGCCGCACACCTTTAGTTAAACTGCCAAAAAGGCCACATTATTAACCCGAAAGTACACAAAAATTACACTTCAGATACTCAACTTCCTTGACATGCTTCACGTTTTGAAATTTCACAGATATCTGTTATCGTTCTTCCACAAAACGTTCACATGTAAGAGGTTCATCTCTCATTCAGAACAATGGAAACCTTTGATCTCTGCACACCTCGTTAGCTCAAATATAAACACTTGTGTCATGGAACACGATGATGTCATAACACACAGGTGTTCGTGTTTGAGCTAACGACGTGGTCACTGGAGTTTAACAGACTGTCTGAGCCTATTCTTTTCTGTCTGATGGAGACTTCATACTGACTTCAACATGTTCCACCTATTTTATACATTATTGGTGACACACAGCTGTCGTCGTTAGCTCAAATATAAACACCTGTGTCATGGAACACGATGATGTCACATTGACAGGTTTGGTAACGATGCAGCCATCAACGCATCTTAGCGTATTATGGGGTGTCATCAAATGCCGTTGCCATGGCGACAGACCACTCGCCATGAAGCACGATGTCGCTGTAAGTCCAATGGACACGGTCCGATCGTCCCCCAAACTTCGCTTGTATATCACCGGTCCAGCCCTCAACAGCTCTACGTCAATTATGGGGTTTCTTCAAATGCCGTTGCCATGGCAACACAATGCTCGCCATGAAACATGGTTTTCTCATAACTTCAGTGAAAATGCTCCAAAACGGCCCAAAACTTCACAGCCATCAACGCATCTAAGCGTATTATGGGGTGTCATCAAATGCCGTTGCCATGGCGACAGACCACTCGCCATGAAACACAATGTCGCTGTAAGTCCAATGGACACGGTCCAATCGTCCCCCAATCTTCACTTGTATATCACCGGTCCATGCCTCAACAGCTCTACGTCAAATCTGAGATCTCACCATATGCCGTTTCCATTTCCCTCGCCATAAAAGACGATGTCGCTATAACTCCTATGAAAATATTCAAAAAGTGCTCAAACCTCACATGTGTGCTAACAGTCCAGCCGTGAAGACATCTACGGGACATGCCGTTGCCATGGCAACACAATGCCTGCCATGAAACACGGTTTTCTCATAACTTCAGTGAAAATGCTCCAAATGGCCCAAAACTTCACAGGTTTGGTAACGATGCAGCCATCAACGCATCTAAGCGTATTATGGGGTGTCATCAAATTCCGTTGCCATGGCGACAGACCACTCGCCATGAAGCACAATGTCGCTGTAAGTCCAATGGACACGATCCGATCGTCCCCCAATCTTCACTTGTATATCACCGGTCCATGCCTCAACAGCTCTACGCCAAATCTGAGATCTCACCATATGCCGTTTCCATGGAAACGCATCCCTCGCCATAAAAGACGATGTCGCTATAACTCCTATGAAAATATTCAAAAAGTGCTCAAACCTCACATGTGTGCTAACAGTCCAGCCGTGAAGACATCTACGGGACATGCCGTTGCTATGGCAACACAATGCCCGCCATGAAACACGGTTTTCTCATAACTTCAGTGAAAATGCTCCAAATGGCCCAAAACTTCACAGGTTTGGTAACGATGCAGCCATCAACGCATCTAAGCGTATTATGGGATGTCATCAAATGCCGTTGGCATTCAAGCCCCCAGTGTTCATGTATCATTTCAATCTAAATTCTTCACTTTCTTCATACACATTACATTTCAGCATAGCAATTCAGCGTCAGCTTTTCAGCATAAAGCATTCCCACTAGCAATTTCTTCAGGAATTGCATTCTCTAGTTTAAAAATGTGACTCTTAATGGCAGCTTTTTGATTTAAAGGAACCCTATCAGGCTATATTTAAATGATATATTGTAGGGCCATACCTATATAAGGTATATTTATACGTTTCTGTTTTCAAAATACCAAACAGATCATGCATTTTAGCCATGCCTCATTTCGCTCTATGTGCTGTTTGCTGTCTACGGGTCTGATTCTGCTGACCACGCCCCCCTGCAGGAGAGGTGAGCCGTGCTCTGATCAGCTGCTGGGCTGTCAGAAGAGGGGGAGAAAAAGAGATCTCCGTCCTCCTGTTTTATTATATAGAGTCGTTATTCATTTGTTTTAAAGCTCAATAAATAACAAAGAAGACCTTTGACCGGCACTTTTCTAATTTTGTACGGAAGATTTAAACTTTAACGGACATCTTGACCGGCGAAACAAACTGAAACTGAAACTCTGCCGCACGGTCCCCTCGTTCCTTGGAAGAGGCGGAGAGGTGGGTGTTTGTCATCTGCTGGTGGACTAACCGGAGAGAATTACAGTGCTTGCCTCGACGGGGAGGGATTGCATTGCAGCGGGAGCAAACGCTTGCCTCGGGGAGGGAGAAAGAAAGCCACAGCGGAGAATAAACAGAAGGGTAACCATGGTAACCAAGTCTTCTTCGCTGCTTTTGTGGCAGACTACAGCGCCACTTACAGCGTCTCCAGTGCTTTCGAGCGGCAATGGCCGTGGCTGTCTCCTCCTGATTGGTGGAGTTGGCCCAATAGCCGTAGCGCCACCGTCCTGACGTCAGGACAGTGTTCAAATCTGTATCAGTTTTTATCAGATCCATTGCAGTCCCTTTTTTAGAGATTTGGGTATGGAGGAAAATAGAGAGGGTTGTGTTTTCTGACACTTGGTGAGATCCCTGGAACACCGGGGACACATATTCATGTATAAAAGACGTACAAAAGTGCATTTTGCATGATAGGTCCCCTTTAAGAGAACATCCTTAGTTAACACAAATCATATTAAAAACTAATGTAATTTAGAGAGGACAATAAAAGTTTTAGGTGACTTAGTGAGTGAAAATTAATGGCTGATAGCAAAATCAGGAGGTGACAGGAAGGGGGAGAGGAAGGGGTGTGAGGGGGTCAGGGGGAGACAGTCTCACACATCCAGACTCCATTTTCATGAAGAGCCTCTGACGGAGGGGTCTGAACCCGACACAGATACTGCATCCGTTTCTCGACTGGCGCTCCCGACGGATGGCGGTAAGTTGTCACAGGCGTCTCGCTGATTAAACCCATATCGATGCGTCTCTTTGCCATTTTCTTTTTTGAAAAGTTTAGGTGACTTGGTGAGTGGAAATGACTGGCTTTTTATCTAGTTTTGCACGGATTTCTTTTTTTACCTAGCTCCACCCCTCACTATCTTCTGGCATCACAGCAAAAGGAAGGGGGGGTGACAGGAAGGGGTGAGAGGGGGACGGGGTGCGAGGGGTACGGGGTGCGAGACAGTCTCACACAACTTCAAAGAGACTACCTTAATTAACACTAGTTACAAACACTGATCAAAGGACAGACTTCAGAGGCTAATTCGATTATAGATCAAAGGCTTATAACATGCCGGTGTGATATCACACCGGCATGTTACAACACCTCACCCCCCTTACATCAAAGGACAGACATCAAAGGGTAATTAGATTAGACAACAAAGGGCAGACATCAAAGGCTAATCAGATTAGACAACAAAGGATCTGCTACAGGGGGGAATATCACACCTGCACGTGATAACACCTCACCCCTCACATCAAAGGATATCACACCTATCTGTGATATCACACCTACACGTGATAACACCTCGAACAAAGGGGTCATTAGCATATCAAAGGAGGTCATTAGCATAATTAGTGGGGGATGTGACCTGTCACTTTTTTTGCATACTAATGTGATGGAAACGGTATCCTTATAACTACTAGCATGTTCTCAATTATATTGAGTACATGGTCAGTGTGTTTTTCTGTGAGAGGATCTGTATCTGCTGGGTTAGTTTAAACCAGGCATCCTCAAAGTCCGGACTCCGGTCCGGATCCGGACCGAACCACAACTGTCTCTGGACTCTGAGCAAATTATACTTTTCATATGTATTATCTGTGTTATCTGCGAGACATCTCCACAAAATTCTCCGCTATGTCCACTGCATACAGCGCTCTGCATGTCAGACTGTTCCACTGTCTGTGTGTGTCTGTCAACGCTTTGGTCCAATCACATTCAGCATCCCGTCAGCGTTTTTTCCCCCCACCAACAGTGTGCGAATCAGAGGCACAGTAGGGCGGGTCTTCGCGGAATGCGGGTGGGAAAAATGCGTGTGTCGTGTCATCTCTTTCAACCTGTCTGAGTCAGAGCGAGAGTTTAAAAAAAAAAAAAGTCAGAGCGAGAGTTAACAGCTCATCTAGTTGCATCTGTACTGTAGCTAGTAGCCTAGTTTCACCTACCGGGGTGGCATGGGGTGGCAACTGCCACCCTAAAAATAGGCCTTGCCACCCCAGCTGCCACCCCAGTTGGCAGCTTTGTTTTGAAAGAAAGGTTGTGGCTCATCTGACATTTATGAGAGAAAGTCTTTAATGTCCGAGTGCAAGTGAATGCAGCACAAGATGCACGTCTTGTAACCCCTCCCCCGGCCCTGGCGCGAGCGTGGAAATATGATTGGCGGAGATTTCATTTGAACGGGACGGCGCAAAACGAGAAGCATTCAGACCCAAATACTGAAGGAATGAAGTATTTGCGGTCTATAATGACAGAGAAGAGACTGTCAAGTTTGGCTGTACTCAGCATTGAATCAAAACGCACTAAAGCTGTTGATCTTAATAAGTTTGTGAGGCGTTTTGCTGAACAAAATGGTAATCGCCGCATTCAGCTGTAATAGGCATGTCAACTTGATGCTCTGCTCACGGATGAGCATACAAAACTGTTAAGATGATGACCTTACGTGGGTAAATATATTTTTTTCTTTGTGGGGGTCTGCCCCATGGATGTATAATAAGAACTGGATACAGCGTGGGAGGCGGGGCCTCATTCATTCCTATGAGAGTTGCTCATTCGCGCATGATGATAAAATGGCCCAACTTTTGAGAGAGCGAAACGTCACAGATTACCCGGCATGCCTGAGAAGTACCCGTATGTGCGCTCATAGCGCATGCGCAACTTTAACCATGCCCCCCAAAATGCTCGTTCACATCAAGCACGTCAATTTGCGTACACGTAACAGCACCGCACGTTCATGACAGCATGGTAATGGTTTGTTATTATGATAGATTTGATATTAACGAGGCGGCAGTTAGCAGCTAGCGGTTAGCTAGTAATTATGCTAATTTACACATCAATCGTTATGTACTTTTATATTACGCTGTAACAGGATCTAGTGATATCCAAGCAACAGAGCTTCATTTAGCATGAAAGAATTATTGCACTGTATATATATATATATATGTATATATATATATATATATATATACAGTGCAATAAGCTTCTTAGTGCAATAAGAAGCTACAGGGACGTTAATCTACGTCGGTAATATTAACTTTATTTAATACAACATTTACGGTACAAGATTTAATCATACAGCCCATGTAGTATAATATTTTACAAATGATGAATTACAGAAATATATCCATTATTACAGCTCCGTGGGCTGGCAGTAAGGCGATATGGGTCCGTTCTTATTGTGCATCCATGGGTAAAGATAAACGCATGTAGTGCTGAACACGTAACATGAACGTGCCGGGCGGCGCGGTCCCGTGGGTTAGATGCGCGTTCATAATGCAGAGGGAAATAACTCGCAGAATAACGTTATTAGCACATTTTTACAACTTGAGGAACGAATGTCTTTAATAAGGGCTATACAAGTGTTCATACTGGGTAGTTTATTTAGTTTAAAAAAAATTATCCAACGATTTACAGACCACTCTTTCCCCATGTAAGTCAATGGGAAAAAGTGTTTCCGGGCCTGGCAACCAAAAGGAAGTGTAGTACCGCCGTTTGGCCAGCACGAATATTTTCATCTGAGTCCGGCGCACTTCCTGGGGGCTTGGTCTGCCCCCAAAAAACAGTTTTAAGTCCTGAGAAAGTCAAATAAGACGGTGTGTAAAACTACACTGCCCAGCCAAAAAAAGTAACCACTTTGATTGAACTAGGCCAGTAGGTAAGGACATTCCACTGGATAATAACTGGAGTATAAAAGAAGACTGAAGTGATGGAGACCATGTTTGAAGGCAAACAAAAAGAGGAAATAACAGGTCAAATCAAGCAAATCCCCCTCTCAGATTCCACAGCAACCAGAAGAACATAAATACTGGCTGGTGATTTGATTAATCAGCTTTGTGATGGAATAAAAAATGCACAGTGCATTTCCTTAGCTGTGGATGAGTCCACTGACACCACTGACAATGCTCAGTTGCTGGTGTTTGTGAGTTTTTATGATGAGGCAAAGGGGGAGTTTGTTGAATATGTGTTGGGCCTGACGAACCTCAGTGGACACACAAGAGGGCAAGACATTTATAAAATGGGAATGCTGAATGAAAGAGGGTGCAGCTGCCTTTATTCATAACTGTGCAGCTCTTACACTGCGACTCTGAGGGATCAAGCACAGACACAATAACAATAAAAACTGCTGCATACAGATTATTTTTGTTTTTGCAACCTCGTGTTAAGAATCGTTAAGCAATTGTTTAAAGGTTTGAATGACTGTAATAAACGGACCTTTGTCTTATTGAAACATTTTTTTTGGACCTTTAAGATTTGTATTTGAGTACCCCTGGTTTAAACCATAGACTATATAACTGTATATATATAAAGGGTTAATCAGGCCGAATGAACTAAACCATGACTCCACATATGAACAAACATACACACTAAGTCCTGCTGTGTCAGATTTTCATATACATTTATTTTACATTTTAAATGGATTCAATCCTTCTTCTCTCCCTTAGATTGTGTGGTGGCCAACAGTCCTGCCTATATTCCTCCATCTTTTCTCTCCCCCCTCTTGTCCCTCCTCCCTCTTCCTCCTCTCTCTGTCTCTCTCCCTCTGTGTCTCTGTGATGCCGGGCTGTGGGTGAGTGTTTGCCTGTGACCAGACTGAAGCTGGGGAAGCTAAAGGTGGTGCGGCGGCAGCTGCTGCAAAGGTACAGAGCAAAGCACAGCACCATCACTAGCTCTGGCACAACTCTGATGTAGTGGCGATAGGCTGTAGTCATCCGTTTTCCTATGCATTCACACTTCTTTGAAGACAGCCATTGTGTTAATGACTGTTGTTTAATTTGGATTACAATTGGGAGCAATGTGTGGACTTAAAATCGGTAATAAAAGAAGAAAACCAAACAAACAAAAATACTTTTTACTCCTAATTATTATGTTAAGGGATGCAGATACTGTAGTCTACATTGAGGTGGAGAGGTTTTGAGATGTTCTGAATATATTTCAATTTGTTTGGATGATCAGAAAACCTCATCAGTAGTATCTCTTTCCAAACAATGTTCTGGTGGCCCAGGAGGGTGATCTTCAAAGCTTGCTGTGTGCTCTTTTCATGAAAAACGCTTTGATCGGACACAGCCTGTGTCTTTGTGCGCACAGAAAGACCAGTCACAGTGCTTCTGTGCAGAGGTAGCCTGGACGCATTATCCAAAGAGGAGAGAGGCCTCATTTATTATTTTTGACATTACATTAATAAAACAGTAAAATAAATGGTTGTGTTTTGCAGTATGAAATCTTATTAGTGAATCTGAACCCTTTGGGTTGCCTTACCGTATCTTATCCCTCTTCATTATACACAATCCTTCAGCAATACTTTGGAAAGTTCCTGTACAGAACTGAACAGCTCTTTCCTTTTAGGCATATATATTTGACATATTTTGTCATTTTTACAAAAATTCTGTTTTCATTTTTATTTTATATATTTATTTACATTCATTATAACTCTAAAGGAAATTCCTTGTATGTGAACTATAGACTGTATACAGTATATACAAATGCCTAAATGACAACAAACCTTATTCTGATTCTAATAAGCTTTAATTCACAAAATGGTGGCTGTTCAAAGTAACTAAAGTAATAACTACAATAGGTTTCAGTGGCAGCCTCATATAGTGAGGACAGCCTGCAGATGCAACCTGATACTGAAATAAGCAGAATAAGAAAATACTTTCTGATAGTAATTGTATCTGACACATTGAACCAATGGTGCATCCTACTGACTTTTGACACTATAAGTTTAGTATAAAACTTAATAAAGCAGTCTAGATAGTGGTTGTTTAACAGTTGCTTTATCTTTAATATCTCTAAAAGCTAACCAGGTCATACTGTATGTTGTTACATGTCTTTTAAAATATGAAGATGTTTCTGTGTTTGTAATATTGTTGTGTTAATGTTAACTGGTGTTTCCTTCCTTGGTTGATTCCTAACTGGCTGTATCAGGTATGAACACCAGCCGTTTGTCTCCTGTCTGGCCGGCCTCTATGGTTGCCAATGGAGACGATACCAAAGAGCCCGGGCACAGCCAGGAGAGTGCTGCTGCAGCAAGGTAAACACTCTCACACACACACACACACACACACACACACACACACACACACACACACACACACACACACACACACACACACACACACACACACACACACACACACACACACACACACACACACACACACACACACGACATCAGCTATATCAGCTATATCAGTGAGTTGAGTTAGGTGACTGCTGATAGTGCAGAGAGTATTGATTCCTCAGACGGATCTCGTCTGTCCAGCCTGCTGACTACAACACTCAGTAACTGCTTTTCCCTGGAAAACATGAGCATTTAATACTCTGTCAGCTTCATCCAAATATGCTGCTACCATACTGTATGCACTTGGTCATATGATTGACTTCCTCTGTATGTGCCAGATTCTCTAGCATCAGGGAGGCCAAATCTGACTGTACCTTTTAACTTTTAGAAATGTCATATTCCCCAAAATAAATGTAAAAAAGAAAAACTAAATACATTGTAGTTTGGTAAGACAAAAATGACCCATGACCACTGTTTGTGTTTGTTACAGGTGGAGTGTGGCAGTTTCGGCCTCCTGATCCTCACCTTCTTCCTGAGTTTTTTATTCCTCTATTTCTGGAGTGAAGCTCAAAATGACTACTTCGACTTTGACTGGTGGGTACACAACACACTCGTGTTGAGTGCTTTGTGTGATGATTGCCAGACTATTTAATTGGTTGACATTGTGATGAGGATAAGCAAAGAGGACATGTATTTATCCTGAGGGAAACTGCTGTGCTGCAGTTGCTTAGAAGGACAAAGATAACACTAAGGTATATAGGATTATAACACACTAAGGTGCAAATATAAATGAAAGAAAATAAATATACACATATAGCAACAAATAGCACCTGCCACCTGCCAAACAGGATCAATGTTGGGTGTGGTAGGTAAAGATTTCAGGTAACCTGCCACCATGATACTGTATAGTATTCTTGAACAGAAATTCCTCAGTTAAAAATAGTGAGGGATTATGTTTACATGATACATGTCATACTTCTACCATCTGGTACCTCTGACTCAGTGTTTACCCTAATGTGTTGTTCTTACATTTCAATGGTTGCTGTCAATACAATTGAGTGGTATGATGTCAAGTGTTGACAGTATCAAACCTGAGGATGGAGTGTGTGCAAGAGTGCATGGTAACACATAATGTTGATATGAATGCCCATGGTGTTGATTAGGGATGATTGTCTTTAACAGGAAAGGAATCAGTGAATCAATACATGATTGATGAAGGGATCAAGCCATCATTCAAACCTGACTCAGAACATGAAGCACACCATGTGATGGACAGTTTTTCTTGTTCCTCTTCAGGTTTAACTTTGGGACTCTGGGCTTCTGGTTTCCCTGGTCTCTGGTCCTGCTGGTCATTGCTGCTGCTCTCTTCACATACATCGCCCTCCTGCTGGTATGAACACTGATGGTGGTTCAACCTGTCCACATTAAGCACATGATCGACAATAACAAAGAGAAGAATGCTTCATTAGTTCACTTTAATGAATTAAGTTTCCATAAAATCGAATTTGGTGGTTTGTGGGTAATTGTTACTTGAAGCAGCTTTGTGTAATGTTTTTTGATGAATATCTAAACTTTGTTCAGGTCCTGGCAGTGTGCCTGCTCTCTGAGGGACAGAGGCTGTACCTCCACTGGAGCCACAAGGTAATACACACATACACACAGTTTGTTGTATTTGTGTTCTCAGCTTGTTGTTAGATGTCATTTGTTGTGCCTTCTCGTCCTGATGTGTTTGTGTCAGACTGGCATCGTGGTGGCGTTGGCGTTCTCAGTCACAGCCACCGCCATCTTGTCCGATCTCTGGAGCAAAGAATGGAAGACTCTCCTTCTGTCCCTGCAGGTAATCCTGACACGCCAGCCAATCACATTTCAGGACTTTGTTTATGTTCTTTATGTTTTGAGGGAAATAGTCGTGCTGACATTTTGACCAATACCATTTCTTCCTCTGTATATCTTTATTTGTTCATATCTTCATATCTTCCTCTTTAAATCTTTAGGTGACGGCACCTTTCCTCCATGTGGCTGCAGTCTCACTGATGGCGATTCTCTCATGGCCAATATCTTTGCACTTCTTTCGCATGAACAAGAAAGGTAAGAAGGCTGATGAGTGTCTGTGGAGGGGGGGGGCTTTGAGTCTCTGTCAGAATGTACATTTGCAGCAGTTGTAGATGCATCTTATCAAACATGTAATGTATTACAAAATAAATGGACCTGGTGATGAAAACTAGAAAAAAACACTTAATAAAGCAAATCTATAAATCAGTGTTTACCCTGTGGCCCGCTACACTTTCTACAACAGAGCTGCAGGTGGCGCTGCCCCCGAGCTTGTTTCTCTGATGGAATTGGAAATGGACGATTTGAATCAAACTTGAAGCCGTCACACATGTACACAGCACAGCACACACAGTGAAATATACACTCTGCATTAAACCATTGTAGTAAAAGGAGCCCATAAATGTAGATGGCCCCCTCAGCAACGTGGCACACTTGTCTTGCGTGAATTACACAGCTGAAGACGTCCCTGTCATCCCTCTTTCTCTCTCCACTTCCTCCTAACAGAAAATCAATGTCTCATTTTCCTGCTGGCACTCTTCTCTCTGTCTCTCTGATGTCTACTTTGATGCTGCTCTGCACATTTTCCTGCAATCTGTTTCTGTCTTTCCTTCTATTTTCTATCTAACTGTTTTTATGCACATTTTCAATATAAAAAATGGAATTAAATGTTGAAAGATTGCAGAAAGGTTTTAATTCATGGATATAAGTAGGACTAGGTTAAATCTCCTCTTTCACTACACAGAACTGATGTTACCTTCTTCACATTATTACACTAAAGACACAGAAGTGTGATAGTTCCATTAGGGCTGAACAATTCATGAAAATGTTATCAAAATCAGTGCAATGTCAAGCAGGAGGTACAATTTTAATTTATAGATATTTTAAAAAGTGTTATTCCTAGATTTATGTCCTGACTTATATTTTTACAATTTGTATTCCAGACCCTTGAGCTTCCTTCCATTATCTTACAGACAAATCTTGTATGATATTTTCTTAGTTTAACAACCTGTAACCAGTGACAAGCTAAAAAGCAAACAAACAAGACGCTTTCTGCTCTAAAGATTCTGACCCGTGGGCCAGTTGAGCTCCTTTAGTGCTGAAAAGTGCTGAAATCCGGGCTGGGCCCTGTGTTCGTGTCCATGCAGCAGAACAGGGAGAGCTATGTTACATCCTGAGCTTTGGCAGATCACTCTCCTTATCTCCTGCCAGGAGAGACCCTCAAGATGACTCAGCATCCCTCTACCCTGCTGACTCACCATGGCAACCAGGGACAGTACCCATGGTGACCAAAGAGGCAAAAGAGATGCAGAAAACATAGAGGTCAAAGAAAATTCATAAGAAGACAGTGAGACAGGAAGAGGAATGTTGAATAAAGTGGGTTAGCTGTTTTACGGAAATCCATTAAAAGATGTGAGTGAAGAGCAGTCTTCATTTGTCCTCGCTGGGCATGTTAATGGGAATGCAGATCTTTAAGATACATTTGATGGGTGTCATTCAGTGTGCGACTAGCACTGGTTTGTTCTTTCACACTGTTACGTGATTTAAGTAGATGCTATACATAGGCAAGCTAAATAAGCTAAGAAAAATATAGCAGCTAAATTGAACATAGTGTTTTACTTCAGCCAAAGTTCCAGTTGTGCCAGGTTTGGTAAGATACTTAGCAGCTAGCTTCACAGGTGGACTGCTTCCTGTTCTTCCTGTTGTCTGCTGGTCAGACCACCATGTTGATCCTCTCAGGAAGATTGACTGTTTCTCATCCACATTAAAGTTCTGCCCCAGCACACTGCCATAGTTCTGAGCCATATGTAGAGTGTTGAAGGCTGGTGTCTTGGTTGGGGTGTGTTAGCCAAATTAGTTAAAATTATATGAAATGTTATTATATTATATTATATGATATAACTGTAAATAGTTGTTTCGGTTGATTTAGATATTTATATGTTTTTTTCATCTGCCTTGCTATGTTGGATAAAAAAAAAAAATGTTTAAAAAATGTTTGTCAATTTGTATTAAAAAGTGCATTCAGTCAGTCCGCTGAAGGTGCACTTTGTGTTGTGTTGCAGTGCGTCAGGTGGCTGCTCTGGCTCTCTACCTGTCCGTGCTGTTCTCTCTCTACCTGGTTCCTCTGGGGATGTACTCGCCCTGCATCAAAGAGGCAGGGACGCTGGGACCTGCTCCCACACTCATCGGACACAGAGGAGCTCCAATGGTGAGGACTTTGGGATTCTTCTCTTTAAAGTCTGTATTTCCTGAACATCAATCTGATTGCGACAGATATTTATTTTTCTTTCTCTGGAAATTATTTTGTCTCGTGTGTGTGTGTAGCTTGCTCCAGAGAATACTATGATGTCGTTTGAGAAGGCGGTGGAAGCTGGAGGAGAAGGACTGGAGACCGACGTCACCATCAGGTATAAACTGCTCACACTGTGTGTGTGTGTGTGTGTGTGTGTGTGTGTGTGTGTGTGTGTGTGTGTGTGTGTGTGTGTGTGTGTGTGTGTGTGTGGGTGTGTGTGTGTGGGTGTGTGTGTGTGTGTGTGTGTGTGTGTGTGTGTGTGTGTGTGTGTGTGATGTCTTTATGAAAGTCAGTCTTAATTGTACTGCAGCTCCTCCTCCCTGCTCTCTTCTTCTTTCATTAATATTCACCGTATGATCACTCATCACTTATTTCTGTGTCATCCTTTGTTACTCTCTGTAGTTATGATGGTGTTCCCTTCCTGATGCATGACTTCACTCTGAAGAGAACCACCGATGTCGCTGAGGTCTTCCCAAACCGAACGCACCTCGACGCCTCCATGTTCACCTGGGCCGAGCTCCAGCAGCTGAATGCTGGCAACTGGTTCTTATCGGTGAGACTAACACACACACACGCACACGCACACGCACACGCACACGCACACGCACACGCACGCACACACACACACGCACACAAATGGTCAACAGTTCAACCACAGTATTTATATCACTTGACATCAACTCATGTGTTCAAGTTTATATCTTTTTTTACTTTAATATTAATATGAACATGTTCTGTGTATTTTCAAAATAATCCAAATAACAACAGCCGGATAAAGATGTATTCTCTTTTCTATTCACTCTCGGAATGACTAAGCATCTTTTCTTCAACATGACTCTGCTGCCCACCCACTCTCTGACAGAGGGACCCCTTTGGCACCGTGTCCTCTCTGTCTGAGCCGGACTGCTCGCGGGCCCAGAACCAGTCTGTGCCCACCCTGGCCCAGTTCCTGGAGGTAGCGGCCCGCAGCAGCAGACTGGTGCTGTTTGACCTGCACAGGCCACCGTACGGACATCCCTACCATCAGTCCTACATCAACACCACTCTGCAGGTGGTGCAGGCCCACATCAACTCCTCACAGGTAGCTGTTAGAGGGATCAATGGGAAACATTTTCAATACACGTACAGAAAATATAAACATATATATACATATTAAAAACATTTTTGTTGGTTTGTTTTGCACTTATATTCAGTGACTACCGTTTCTCTACAGACGTATGTCAAAGTCTTGACCCCGATCCCAATGAGATGCATTAATATTAGGCATCTGCTGATACTTATGAAAACATTGCAGCAGAACGTATAACGTTGAGTAAACATTAAACAGTAAACATGTAATGTATCTGTTGCTAAATTTGAAAACCAAATCTTTACAACATTTTTATTTACCAAATGTCTTGGATAAAAAAACCTTTAGTTAAACATTTTAATCTATAAATATATGATGGGAATGAAGTGAAGTTTCTTCCTTCTGAAATTGAAGTGACACAATGTGTGTGTGTGTGTGTGTGTGTGTGTGTGTGTGTGTGTGTGTGTGTGTGTGTGTGTGTGTGTGTGTGTGTGTGTGTGTGTGTGTGTGTGTGTGTGTGTGTGTGTGTGTGTGTGTGTGTGTGTGTGTGTGTGTGTGTGTGTGTGTGTGTAGGTGCTGTGGCTGCCTTCTGAGGACAGGGAGCTGGTCCATGCTGTGGATCCAGAGCTGCAGCAGACCTCTGGAGAGAAAGCTTCTATTCATGAACTGACAGTGGGTCATATCACCAGACTGAACCTGCATTACAGCACCATGTCCCAACAACAGTTCAGGTACACACACACACTTCTGACTTGAATTGTATGAACTTATGAAATGAAAAGTTAGTATGTTTCTTTTACTGCGCACCAACCCTTTAAGCCCGCGTCACACTGTCCCGAAATTGACACCAGATGGACAGACGATAAAGGAAATGTTCAAATTCGGCTCTGATCGTAACAACATCGGGCCATTCGTGAGGGCATCTTAAGCCATCGTATGACCGCCGGTGGAGTTTCTCAGGCTCCGGCAGCAACTTCGTGAGCGGTGGCAAAATCTTTGGCATGCCAAATAATTGCCGAAAGACCTTGCGAAGGTTCATTTTCGTGTTGAATTTGTGTGTCCATTTTGCCCTTCGTAAGGCCATCATGAGGGCATCTTGTCAAATCGTGTCATCTTCGTCTTTACTTCGTGTGATCATCTGTGCCATCGGGCATTTTTCGCCTCACGAAGACAATACGAAGGAAACAAGAAGCTGCCCAATTGTCTTAGGAAGGCAAGACGACTACGTGAAGCCCTCGCAATGCCGTTGTGTAGCCATCGTATTATAGTACGATGACATTGAGATGGGACCACGGTGTCGGCGAAGACAGCCGAATATGAGTAGCTCAAGCGTTTCCCATGTGTCATGGTAACGTGGACATATAAAAGGCCAGCCTCAGAGCATCTCCCTCAGTCAGTCCTGAGCAACTCTACAGAGCAGAGTAGAGTTGTTTTTGTGTAACTCCCAAAAGCTTCAATCACAATAAATCACAATAAATCACAATTCAGTTCCTGCAGAATGGCATACTTTGATGATGAGACAACCAGGAAAAAGAAGGCAGCAGCATTGCTTCTTTTGATGCACCTCAGAGAACATGATGAGCAACTCTTACAGGCCCAGCACCTCCTCTTACAGGTAAAACAATTCTTATTTCACTTTGTCATTTCTTGCTATTTGTGACCTGCTCTATCGAAATCAGTAGCAGTGATGATACCTGTATTAAGCAGGTGAAACAGGAGCATGAGGACACGGTGTGCTATGTTTCCTTGCAGATCGCTTCTCTGGTTGTTTTATTGCACAACAAAATCATGTAAACATATTGTGTTCTGTGAAACTGAAAAGGATATTACATTGTTTTTGTTACTTTCGTTGCAGTTGTATGTCTTAAATGTAATTTAGGTTAACTTCCTGTTTTATTTAGATGCTTTTATTTTGAAGGCGAGTTTACGCTGTTGACAGGAATGGTTGTTGCTATGGAAACAACATGCCTTTGTGTGATTCGGGTGCCATCGTGTGGCCTTCTGTAGGCATCGTACTTGCTTCGGCTGTTGCTTGGCTGTTGACCAAGTTCAGGGGCCATTTTCGTGCGAAATTCACAATTCCATATTCATGTGTCCATCTGGTCTCAATTTCGGGACAGTGTGACGCCAGCCCAGAGATGGAGTACTCGAGTCCTGGACTCGGACTCGAGTCGGACTCGAGTGCCGATTTTCGGGACTCGTGACTCGACTCGGACTCGCGCACTGATTGACGCGACTCGGACTTGGACTAGTGAATTCTCGCACACGATGACTCGGACTCGGACTCGTGAATTATCGCGTACGCTGACTTGGACTCGGACTCGTGAATTTTTCCCCCCACGATGACTCGGACTCGACTTGTACATTGACGCTCCGACTTGGACTCGGACTCGGACTCGAGCAAGTTTTCTATGGAGTCTGATGTCCTCTATCCTGGCGTGTGCACCGGCTGCGAGGCGAGTTCACGTACTGGGCCCCGCTATTCCAGTGTAAAGATGTCTAGAGACACACCCCGCATCTTGCTGTATGCTTTCACACATTCTGCTTCCACATTGGAAAAGAGCAGCGCAAAATGCTCTATGTGGAAACAATATTGAAGAGAAGGCTCCGTAACACATTACTCTAAACATCGAGTTCAGACATATAGGCTGTCTTGAACACTATCATCAGAGTCATCAGGACTTGGACTCTTCTTAGGTGACTCGGACTTGGACTCGGACTCGAACACAGGTAATGATGACTCGGACTCGGACTCGACTCGGACACTCCTTGGGCGACTCGGACTTGGACTCGGACTCGAACACAGGTAATGATGACTCGGACTCGGACTCGACTCGGACACTCCTTGGGTGACTCGGACTTGGACTCGGACTCGACTACGACTCTCCCTTGGTGACTCGGACTTGGACTCGGACTCGAAGAGTGGTGACTCGAGAGTGACTTGGACTCGTGAATTGGTGACTTGACTACAACACTGCGCCAGCCTTATGGAATGAACACCAGTCAGAAACATTTCCACTAACGAAATCAAAATATAATAAAGACGAAACAAAACAGATGCATACATGTATATATATATAGAAATGCAACAGAGAAAAACATGAGAAAACTAGAGAATGCAATTCCTGAAGAAATTGCTAGTGGGAATGCTTTTTGCTGAAAAGCTGACGCTAAACTGCTATGCTGAAATGTAATGTGTAAGAAGAAAGTGAAGAATTTAGATTGAAATGATACTTGAACACTGGGGGATTGAAAGTGTGATGAGAGAAGAACATAAATTAAAAAGGCTTGGAAAAGCAGCAGAATATTTGAACTGCAAACTTTTGAACTAACTTGATGGTGAATGATCTGTCGCCATGCCAACGGCATTTGATGACATCCCATAATACGCTTAGATGCGTTCATGGCTGCATTGTTACCAAACCTGTGAAGTTTTGGGCCATTTGGAGCATTTTCACTGAAGTTATGAGAAAACCGTGTTTCATGGCGAGCATTGTGTTGCCATGGCAACGGCATTTGAAGAAATCTCAAAACTGTCCCGTATATGTCTTCACGGCTGGACTGTTAGCACACATGTGAAGTTTGAGCACTTTTTGAACATTTTCATAGGAGTTATAGCGACATCGTCTTTTATGGCAAGGGATGCGTTTCCATGGAAACGGCATATGATGAAACCCCATAATTGACGTAGAGCTGTTGAGGGCTGGACCGTTAACCATTATCTGAAGTGTGGTGCTGTTTTGACCCTTTTCATAGGCGTTACGACAACATCGTGTTTTATGGCGAGGGATGCGTTTCCATGGAAACGGCATATGGTGAGATCTCAGATTTGGCGTAAAGCTGTTGAGGCATGGACCGGTGATATACAAGCGACGTTTGGGGGACGATCGGACCGTGTCCATTGGAGTTACAGCGACATCGTGTTTTATGGCGAGGGATGCGTTTCCATGGTAACGGCATATGATGACACCCCATAATTGACATAGAGCTGTTGAGGGCAGGACCATTAACCATTATCTGAAGTCTGCTGCTCTGAGCATGTCAGTTGGAGTTATGACATCATCGTGTTCCATCACACAGGTGTTTATATTTGAGCTAACGATGTGTCCAGAGATCAAAGGTTTCCATGGTCAATCAATCAATCAATCAATCAATGTTTATTTATATAGCCCAATATCACAAATGTTACATTTGTCTCAGTGGACTTCACAGTTTGTACAGAATATCAGTATGACAATACGACCCCCTCTGTCACATCGTACAAGGAAAAACTTCCGGAGAAAACCCACAGTTTAAAGGGGAACATGGGAGAAACCTCAGTGAGAGCAACAGAGGAGGGATCCCTCTCCCAGGATGGACAGACGTGCAATAGATGCCGTGTGTAAATTGAAAATATAATACATTTGCCACATAGGTAGTCCAAATGTTTGGAAATGCATGTGTCTATAATAAGAAGATGAATCCACGAGGATATCCATCCAGGACTTATGATCCAGGACCACAGCAGCAGGCACAGCCACGACTCAAGATCCAGGGCTCGCGATCCAGGACTCAGGACCACAGCAACACGATCAGCCATGACTCCGGATCCCGGCGTATATAGACACCAAAAAAGAAATTTGGGGAAGCTGGGTTATTCGGAACATGAGAGTACACAGGTACAGACAGAGAGAAGGAAGAAGTAAGGTGTCCCCCGACAAACTAAGCCTATAGCAGCAACTCCACATCCAGTATCGTTGGGGGGGTCCTGCCGACACCTGTTCCGCTGTGGGTCCTGCCAACCCCATGTCCTGTCCTGTTGGGGGTCCCGCCGACACCTGCTCCGCCGGGTTTCCTGCCAACACCAGATCCTGTCCTGTTGGGGGTCCCACCGACACCTGCTCCGCCGGGTTTCCTGCCTACACCATATCCTGTCCTGTTGGGGGTCCCGCCGACACCTGTCCCGCCGGGGGTCCTGCCAGCTCCATGTTCTGTTCCGTTGGGGGTCCCGCCGACACCTGTCCCGCCGGGGGTCCTGCCAACTCTGTGTCCTGTCCTGTTGGAGGTCCCGCCGACACCTGTTCTCCCGGGGGTCCTGCCAACTCTGTATCCTGTCCTGTTGGGGGTCCCGCCGACACCTGTTCCTCCGGGGGCCCTGCCAACTCTGTGTCCTGTCCTGTTGGAGGTCCCGCCGACACCTGTTCCACCGGGGGTCCTGCCAACTCTGTGTCCTGTTCCGTTGGGGGTCCAGTCGACACCAGCCCTTGCTCCATCCGGGGTCCCATTGACACCAGCCCATGTCATGTTCAGGATTCCGTCTACGCCTGTCCCGTCGGCTCCGGTTCCTGTCCGGCCAATACTGGGTCCTGCCCGGTCTCCGGAGCTGTCCCGTCAGCGCCTTCCTGCCCGGCCTCCGGAGCTGTCCCGTCAGCGCCTTCCTGCCCGGCCTCCGGAGCTGTCCCGTCAGCGCCTTCTTCTTCGCCCTCGAGCCCGGCCCCCTGAGTGCCGCGGCCTTCGCCCTCGAGCCCGGCCCCCTGACTCTTCCAGCCGCTGCCTTCGCCCTCGAGCCGGCCCCTTGAGTTCCCCAGCCGCGGCCTTCGCCCTCGAGCCTGGCCCCCTGACTCTTCCAGCCGCTGCCTTCGCCCTCGAGCCCGGCCCCTTGAGTTCCCCAGCCGTGGCCTTCGCCCTCGAGCCGGCCTCCTGACTCTTCCAGCCGCTGCCTTCGCTCTCATGCCCGGCCCCCTGAGTTCGCCCGCTGTGGCCTTCGCCCCTTTTTGGACTCTGCCTTGCCCCCGGGCCGTCCGCCCGGGACCCCTTCCGGGCCTGTCCTCCGGACCCCCTCCACCCACCCTTTTGGCCCTGGTTGTGCGGGTTTCTCTGTCCGGCTGAGTGCGCATTCACATGAAAGGGGCGGGGTTAGCAACATTTGACCAATCACAAACATGGAGAAGCGTACTGACAGCGCAGCGTCATAGTTCCTGAATGAAAAGTGAACTATAATATTAGACAAAAGAAGTTAAACTTTAAACATCCATGACTTAAACACTTTATCCAGGATAAAAGCCACATAGCTGCACCTGCAAGGTGAATACTGCTGGTAAAAGAAAAAGTGTTTGAATGCGTACATTAACAGGTTTATGATATCACTGCCCCGTCCAAGACACGAGTGGATCTGACTTTAATTACATTTGACTCGAGTGTTTCGTCAACTTAATGTGTTGCTTAAAATAATACTTCTGCATACAGTATGTCCCTGCTGAAAAAACCAGCATAGATCAGCATGGAATTCATGCTGGTCTATGCTGATTTTTGCTGGTGAAGCTGGTAGTTATGCTGGTCTATGCTGGTGAAGCTGGTATTTATGCTGGTCTACCAGCAGTCTTGCTGGTGAAGCTGTATCACCAGCAAGACCATGCTGGTAGAACAGCAAGACCAGCATGGGAAAGCTGGTACACCAGCATGGTCTTGCTGGGAAAGCTGGTACATCAGCAAGACCAGCATGGGAAAGCTGGTACACCAGCAAGGTCTCATGTTATAGCTGGCGATGTTGGATTACCATTTTAGCTAAATAAATAGAGAGAGAGACATAGACAGAGAGAGAGAGACAGACAAACAGACAGACAAACATACTGTGACAGACAGAGAGGGCGGGACACGGAGGAACTGCGAGACAGCAGTGGTTGAAAACATGGTTTTTAACTGGCGCTAACTGTCGGGGAGTGAAGATCAGTTGAGAGTGGTTGAGAGCTGTTTCTGTGACTCCGCCCAGCAGCTGCTCTTCTGAGAGGATAGAGGAACCGCTTCGACAGCTCTCTCTACTGGGAAACACGCTAAAGTCCTTCTGTGTAAGGTTTCAGCGTTAAAATCCTTTTAGTTTAATGTCTTGTGTTCTTAGTCTTGTCACCTTCCGTTTTATTTTGGTAAATGACTCTACCTTAGCCCTTGTCTCCCTTTGTCTTGTGTCAGTTCGTCTCGTCTCCACGTCGAGTCCATGTCTGTTATTATAGTGAGTCTTTTGGAACAACTTAGTAGAACCTAGTAATCTTTAGTAGAACCTAGTGATCTTTTCTTTGTTATCGAAGTTTTCCTGTTCAGTGATTTTTGTTTGTAGCCCTACGTTTGGAATTTTAGTCTTTTATTAATAAAATATATTTTTGAGTTCAAACTGAATCGTGCATCTGAGTTCCTGTGAGCCCATCGTGTCATTCTGGAGGCAAGCAACGCTACACAATTTCACCCAGTCTGAGAGTAAAAGCTTTCTCGAAGGTTCGTTTTGCTTTCTTACAACGTTACGTTAATGTTTACTTAACCTTAAGTTTGCTAAGAAGCTGTTGTTACTTCCCTTAACAAGAGCTAGCTGTCTTAGCTAACAACAGTTATCAGCTAATGTGTTCTGCAGTTTGTGTTGCCCCTGAGTTAAGTTTTGTTTAAAATCGTCAATGTAATGAACGTTAGAGGTTTTGTGTTGGACATGAAGTTAGCTAACGTTAGCTCACTCTACCAAAGGTTGGCATGTTAAGCTGTACTTTCTGTGGCAGCTCGCTTAATACAAAGAGGGTTTTTGTGCTTCATTGTAAACTTTTCTTACAAATGTGTGTTAATCTACCTGAAACTGTAGAGACAGTTTTTCTTCTACTCAACTATACAGACCATTGTTGAGGAGATGCAAAACATACTGTACATGAGTTGGGTCCGACACCAAAGTGTGTGAGTCTGTCAGGGGATTTGATCTGTTCTCTGCATGTCGTACACACTGCTCTGGTATTATTTATCTTGTAAAGTCTCTCGCTCTTGTCATCGTTCAGGCTTTGCATTTGAACTCCTATGACTGGTTGTGGACTTGAAGGGAACGTCTTTCTGGCATTCCTGACATCCAGGAAATCCATTTAATGCCAAAAGCAAGTTATTGTTTTTAACTTTTTAAATATGATTTTTTGGGGCATTTCTGTTTTATTGGACAGAGGCAGTAGAGATCTACTGGAAACAGTGGAGAGGGAGGAGATGATATGCAGCAAAAGGCCCAGCCGGATGGTTGCTGCTCCATGTGGAACGTGTTCTATCAGGTAAAGCACTTTGGTACCCAGTTATTTATGGTATTGAGTTTGAATTTAGCCTTTGGAATGTAATTTCCAACAGCGCATTGTAAAGACTGAAAGATTTAAAGCTTGACATGATTTGGTTTTTCACTTAATAGGATGTTTGTCCTCCTGTCTTCTCTTATTTCCTTATCTTTCTTTCAGGTGTAACATCTACCAATGGTTGTACATGACATAGACCTCCTCCGCCTCTTCGCTGTCCTACTAGTCAACCCTTCTGATCAGAGCCTTTCCTAAATAGTGGTAAGTTGTTTTACAGTTCAGTGTACGTTAATTTAGCAACTTAATGCTTTACCGCTGTTGAATAAATTCTATATTGCTAGTGATTTTATTACAACTATGATTTGTAAACTTTTTTATTCCAATTACAATAATATTTTTGTTATAATTGTAAAACACATCTTAACATCCATCAGCAATCAATAAAACAAATCATCCAACACAAAATTGAAGAAATCTGGACCTATTTATTTGTATACAACGGCATGTATTGGGACTGCTCATTGATGTCATCAAGAGCCATTGAGTCTAGCTTTTCTAGTGGGCCTCTCAGAATGTTTAGCATTTCTTTGTCTCTTAACATTCCTATAATTTGTTTTTTTATTGTTGGTATTGTTTTGTTCTTTATTTTTGTTGTGAGAGTCACTTTGCAATTTTGTAAGTGCTATATACATAGTTATACTAATATTATTGTTGTTACCATCATTACTATTATTAAAATGTTTTCTTTGTTTTCTTTATTCATCGCTGCAGAAAGGATCATGCCAGCCCACATCAAACACCTGATCAAGAACTTGTGAATCTTCAGGCAGAAAAGATGAAAACACCTGTTCAAAGTTCCAGTTCCCTGTACATGGAACCATGCCTGTCCTCTGTTCCACATGTCTTCAGTCAGTCCTGGACCCTATGACTCTGTTCCACATGTCTTCAGTCAGTCCTGGACCCTATGACTCGGACACTAGTTATACCAAGGCTCATTAGAGGTAAGAGTGGTAGGAGAGGAGTGGAGTTATCTTTGTATTTAGGCTGCAAGTCGACAAAGGTGATCAAATGCTGATGCTAATAACGATCCGAGTCATTTGATATTGATTGTCTGCCAATACCGAATCCTGATCCGATTCTTCTATTTCCCAGATAATACAGCTGCACAATTACAACAGGAACTAATTTGTATGACACTGAAACATCTTTAGACGGTTAATACAGAAGGTACATTTAATGTTTGTGTTTTTACCAGTCATAGGGTAACAACATATTTGACTGGTGGTAGGCTAAAAGGCTGTTTCGTTGATAATTCTCTTTTTCATTATATTATAAAGATCTGCTAAATTGGAGGATTCCAAAGCTGAGCTGGAAGGGGAAGTCGCCACCTACAGGACAGCAAATCTAAAAATGTATTTGGATAAACTATTAAACCAGGTATTTTCACAAAGTAAGTACATTTGTTCTTAAATTGCAAGCAAATAATAATGTCAGTCTTTGATCGATTTTGCATTTGAACTTTCATCAGCATCTGCAATAAAAGAAACAGACAAGATGGCAGTGAAATGTGTAAACAATCAGCCCATCAAGATATACGCATATGAATTTATACTATTGTTGAAATGTTTTTGCTACCCTTTCTTTGTGTCTTATTCACATTCTGTAGAAGAACAATCTGAGACACAGTGTGAGATGGCACCCTGGACACCCACACACCCCAATAATCCCCCTTCAAAGAGCGAGCCACATGGGAAGGTATATATTATAGTGGAGCCTTTTTTATTTTTGCTCCTCAGTCACATATTGGTGTCTACCTTTTATGTATAGGCTACTGTACACATTTTATGTTTCGGATTTTTGTCAGATTCACTTGCAAGGGGAGATTCCAGTGCGTCCAGAGGTCTGGGCAAAAATAAAAAACAACACAAGGGACTCCATGTTCGTGAAGGAGTTGGCTGTGGCCTTTTGAGGCACCGAAACCTTAGGGGAAAGGAGCCTGACTGGAAAGGAATGCCCCACCATCAAGACCACCAGGCAGCCTCTAACCCCGCAGAAGCTATCGGTTTTGAAAGGTATGTTAGCAGCACTAGCCACTTGCTCTTTGTGAGATACCAAGTACTTGGTTATTTGAAATGTAATATTGATGATGTAATAATTAAAACTAGGGATGGGTACCGTGCCCCGGTATTAACGGGGCCCCGGGGCTGAATTATTAAAGACCGTGGTACCGTTAAGGTCCAACGTTATTGATCTTTTTATCGGTACTGGAGACATTTAAAAAATAGATGTCATATGTATTATTGCGACATAAACATTATATCGCAGTCTTACTGTCGCCAACTCCGTTTCTAATATGCAATAAGACTTCAAAATGCATCTATGATGTATTTTCGAGTCTCGTTCTTTCCTATGAGAGCTGCTCATTGGCGCATGAAGTCAAAATGGCCCAACTTTTGAGAGAGCGAAACGTCACAGATTACCCGTCATGCCTGGCTGTCAGAGCAGAAGAACCCGTATGTGTGCTCACAGAGCATGCGCCCCTTAAGCCCCACCTCCTGTCATTAAGCCCCGCCCCCCGAGCTCCCACTCTCGGCTCACTAGAATGAATGGAGAGAGAAAATAAATCTAGATTCGGCTTTTAGTGCAGTTTACAACTTGAGGACCGAATGATTCTAATAAGGGCTATAAAATAGTTCATACTGGGTAGTTTATTTAGTTTAAAAAAAATTATCCACCGATTTACAGACGTCTCTTTCCCCATGTTAGTCAATGGGAAAAAGTATTTCTGGGCCGGTCGACGTCACGGACTGATAAGGAAATTGTAGTACCCACACAACGAATATTTTCCTCAGAGTCCGGCGCACTTCCTGGGGGCTTGGTCTTGAGGTGGACAATGCTCGATGCCTAAAGTGCAATAAGAGTTTAGCATGTAAGGGCGGTAACACGAGCAATTTGTCTAAACATTTAGCAAAAGTGCACCACGTTCAGACGGAGAAATGCACCGGGTTCGACTGTCTTTCTAGTAGCTCTGTAGCCCCATCCACGAGTAACGTTTCCACGTCAGGTATTATGTATGCTAGCAGCAACACACGGAGCTAACTCGATGATACAAACATGGGTTAATGATTACCATGAGTTATTTATTTTGTTAAAGTTTCAGCTATTCTGTTTACAGTTCTGTCATCACATAATTTAATACTGTACGATTTGTTAAAACATTGTTGTTTCTTTTGATGTGAAATATTATTTATTTCATTTAAATAAAAAGCAATGTTAATTTTGTTCACAATATGTTTAGTTCATTTACCTTTTTTTTTTCAAAAGAACCAATAAGAGTACCGTTAAAGGACCGGATCGATAAGCGGTATCGATAAAAGTAGTAGTACTGTACATTTGTAGACGATATTTGATACTCTGATCTTTTCATTTATTTTCAGTTTGCTTCAAGCAGTGGCTGTAATAAAGACGTGGAGGACCAAGAAATGCTGGCCATATTGGCAAAGACCAGAAGATACATAACAGAGAAGATAATGGATATTAACAAGAAAAAGAAAAAAAATACTTTAACTTTTTGTTGCTATTTAAATTTTGAATTATATTTGTTATTTTTATTTTCTATTTTAGATTATATATTTATTTAGATGTAGGTTTTTTTTTAAATATTATTGTATTGTTAATGTATAATTTATTAAATAAAAATACTGTTATGAACACTATACTATGTCTTTATTTTGATAGTTACCAGAATACATTGTATATTTAATACTAACATAAGCTGGTGATAGATATATACATCCCTGCTGAAAAAACCAGCATAGACCAGCATGGTGTTGACCAGCATAGACCAGCATAGTTGACCAGCAAAACCAGCATATGTTGTGTTTTGGTCACTTGTATGCTGGTATGCTGGTCTATGCTGGTATGCTGGTCACCAAGAAGGAGGGCTACCATCAATAAAACACCACTATAACTCCTGATTCCTAACATTTGAAGGGTTTTGTAAATCAAATAAAACGGTACGTCAAAGAGAAACCAGGTGACTATGGAAACTATTGAATGTGTTCCTCCTGTCCCCCCTCCACACCTCTGTCTCCACAGAAAGTACCAGTCGGTGAACGTCAGCACTAACCTGTATGTGATCAGTCAGCCGTGGCTCTACACTTTGGCCTGGTGCTCCGGAGCTCAGTCTGTAACCACCAACTCCATCCACATCCTGTCCAGCATCAACAAGCCGCTCTTCCTCATGGTGAGCGCTTTATTAGATATTATCATCCTGCTGTCCTGAGAAAGCTTCATGTCATATTCCTAAAGGCTTAATTGTTTGGCTGCATGAAGCTTTGATCTACAACATGGCTGTACCAAACTGTATATACTGTATGTCCTAGCTGTCTCCACAGCTATTGGCTTGTATCATTTCCTTTAAATGTCACCAAACATGATTTTGTTTTGCAATTCCAAGAAGTCAGGGAATTCCCCAAAATATGCTCAATATTGATGCAGCAAAGGCAGACTTTGACTACTATGAGAATGTGTCGTCCTTCTTTGCCTTTATCATAAAGAGAGGACAGACGGGTGGGAGAGGGGGGGGCTGACATGCAGCATTCTACACAGACATCAAAACATAAACTACTCGGAGAAAATACAAGTTTGAGTTCAGTGCAGCTGAAATAGAAACATAGATAAGACCATTTGGCAAACCTTAGTATAATGATTATTTCATGTGATGAAACCTCTTTTTTAATCAATTGTAAACTGTACATACAGAAGTAGACTACAAATTGTTGAAAAACACAGGCCTACTTTTGCAGCCTTTTCACATGCTGATTGTTTGCTATTGATTTGCTTTAGTTTGATTTACTTACCAGGATGTAGTCTAAACTGTAAGAGGACATTCGTCCTCTTCTTCTGTCCCTGGACTGCCTCTAACTTCCCTCAGATTTGGGAGCTGCTTACAGCCTGTGGAGGGTTTGAAAAAAGTCCTTATGCATTTATATTTTAGACATCTAGAATGTGCTCAGATCCGCTGTGGCTCTCCACTGGTAGTCAGTAGGTTAGAAGCTCTGCAGCAGGTAGCGTGGTGTTTGAAGGTTGTTCAGTCTGTAATCTTTTGGTATCACTGACATTCTCTCACCACCTACATCTCTAACTTTTGTATACAAGTACCTAAGCCCCAGACTTTGTGTTCAATCAAATACATAATGGTCTGTTCACTGTTCCATTATCAACCTTCTCTCCGACTCTCCAGACTCAAGAGGAATACAGTTTGATGTGGATTCTGACTGATGCTGTGTCTGCCCTGCTCATCATAGCAGTTTTCATATTCCATTGGTGCGTACAGACACACACACTCTCACACACACACACACACACACACACACACACACACACACACACACACACACACACACACACACACACACACACACACACACACACACACACACACACACACACACACAGGCACTTCCACGTGGTAATGCACACTCAGTGGACAGATGAAAGCAGGTACATGTGGCAGCTCAAAGCACTTTGGTGAGCACAGAGACACACCTGGTTCCCCTGCTGCTCTGATCTCTCTCTTTGGTGTGTGTGTGTGTGTGTGTGTGTGTGTGTGTGTGTGTGTGTGTGTGTGTGTGTGTGTGTGTGTGTGTGTGTGTGTGTGTGTGTGTGTGTGTGTGTGTGTGTGTGTGTGTGTGTGTGTGTGTGTGTGTGTGTGTGTGTGTGTGTGTGTGTGTCAGGTGGAGAGAGAGAGGCCTGCCCTGGTCCGGCAGCCGACAGACTCATGAGAATGGAGCGTACAGCAAGTTCAGGACAGGTGTGTGTTTCTCTTTACAGTGTCACTGTGGATCCATGTAATACCCCTTTTCAGGATACACTCAGTTTACTCAATACCAGTATCATTAATAGCAGTCACTATCAGTTTCATTCCTGCTGATCAGTACAGAGTGAGGCTTTGCTGGAGCAGATCATCTTCATTAAAAGAGGCAATGTCTTATCTGGTCATCTAAGCCAATCAGCAACACTCCCAGAGTGTAAGAGGATTAAAAACAAATATGGCCCCCAGCCCCCCGTTCCATCTGTACTGCACACAGGGATGAAGCTGGTACATGTGATGGACCAGCAGAGACATTCTTTTATGATTCAATCCTTGCATGCATGTGTGTTTTAGACTCCTCAGAGGTCATCTGTTTTCGCTGGAGCCCCCTCCACTCTGACCCCCCTGCTGGAGCCCTGGTCTCCCTCCCTTTGGTCTTCAACCCATGACCCCCCGCATGACCCCCTGCATGGCGCCTCAGGGGAACCTTGTATGAACTCTGAACTTTGTCTGAACTGTACAAGCTGCTACTCTTACTGTAGGAGAGTAGCACCCTCTCTGAAGCCCACACAGAGACGTGTGGGATTTAAACAACTGAGAGGATCAAGAACTACAGAAACTGTTGTAGAAAAACCCTCCATTACTGTGAGAACCTACAGCCCGCCCCCCCTACAGTGTATGAAGCTTGTAAATATGCCCTTACTACCTTATTTTTCTCTTTGCATCATTGGGGTCCATACAGTAGATGTAGTCTGTTAACCCTAACCGTGAAAGGGGCGGGGTTAGCAACATTTGACCAATCACAAACAGGGACAAGTGTACTGACAGCGCAGTAAAAAAAAAGTAAACTAATATTAGACAAATATGAACTTTAAACATCCATGACTTAAACATATAACCCAGGATACAAGCCACATAGTGTCACCTGCAAGGTGAATACAGAACAACTGGTTAAAAAATAAATAAACTACCGAGTGTTTGAAAGCGTACAACAGTTTTATGATATCACTGCCCCATCTAAGACACGAGTGGATCTGACTGTAATTACATTTGAGTTGAATGTTTCGTCAACTTAATGTGTTGCTTAAAATAACACTTCTGCATACAGTATGTGACAATGTAAGTGATGCACGGCCAGATACGGCTCGAGAAGCTGACTCAGATAAGGAAATATATGATATATTATGATATTATATGATCGATGATCTGATTGATGATGTGATATGAATGATAAGTGCGACACGTTGGCGTCTTCTCTGCATACGGCAGTTTAAACTATTTCCTTTATCCTGTAATATAACTTGATAGATTTCAACTCTGCACACTGAGCTCTGATTGGTCAGCAGGCGGTGCTTTCACTGAGTTGATCTCTTTTCTATAGACGCCGGAGGCGGGCAGCGTCAGGTAAAAAACGTTATTTAGCCTTCCCAAACCTGAGCCTCACGCGCCGCCTATGGATTTCCACCTCCTTTAATACTTTCCACCTCATTCTGGTGTTGGTGACATGTGTTGTGTGAGACCAGAGATGTAGTTCATTGAGCGATTTCACACACAAATAAGTGTTACTTCACAGTTTTACGACAAACTGTGACTTTTTTTACTTGGAAATGCTTTTTTAAATTGACAAACATCATATGTGTAATTCGTGGCACAAACGGGATCGAAAGATAACTTTTCTCTCTCCATTGACTTCAATACATAATTTTTCTGAAATAAGGTCCCATGGAGTTCCACCGGAAGGGAGGGACTCTCTATGGCATGCCTCCCCCACAGTGCTCCATGTGAAGGTATGAACTATAAACTCTTTGACTGTTTGCCCCCCATCTGCAGAGCTGAGTGACGTGTGGTCCATCTCCAGCGTCAGCGTGCGGCCAGACCTGCGGAGCGCGCCCAGTTCCCCCAGTAAGCCCCACCTGCCCACCATCACTGAGGAGTGAGGGGGGGAGAGACAGAGAGCGGAAGGTACAGACAGTGAGAGAGGGAAGAAAAAGAACGAGTAATGAAAAACTTAAATATTTACGTCCTGATAAGGAAGCATCACATTGGAATAAAACATTCCTGATTATTATTATTAGAGGTTAACACTGTCAAACCCCCCCACCAAACTGCATCTAGTTGTTCAGAGTGCGGGCAGCATGCTGAAAGGAAACAACTCCATATGGGTTATTACATTTAAACTGTCATTACATCTGTGACAGTAACTATTTCTAACTGAGCCTTTGGTGATACACACTCAGAGAATCCAGGACAGAGTGACCAAGAACAGAGAGAGGAACAGCAGCAGAGCCTTCCTCTCTCCTCTCAGTCTGTGGGCCCCGGCCTGCAGGACTCGGCTGGTCAGGCAGCGGGGGGGCTGGAGACCCCCAGTGTCATAGAGGCCATCACACAGCCTGGGCAGGGAGGACAGTTGAACTCTACCCAGAGCCTGACATGCTTTACAACATGTTCATCATTCAACACCACCAGCTGAGCTCAGCATCGCAAGAAACTCAAAAGAAAGAAGAAACCAATGAATATACACTGCTGTAGTAATAAGCGAGTCACTTCACTCTTTCTGTCTCGTGGTTCTAGTTAAAAGAAAAACCAAATGTTTGAAGAAGCTGGAGGAGTGATGGAGTGGAACCCATGGACAACGTGCTGCACGGAGATCAGCTGCATCAGAACCAGCCGTAAACCGGTCTCTGGTGGTCTGTGAGGGGGGGGGGGGGGGGGGGGGGGGGGGGGCAGGGGCAGTCTGTGAACTGTACACTGTTGGACTGACGGAGTGAATGTAACCCAGAGGCTTGAGAAGGTATTGCTAATATCTATTTATCTTTTGTATTAGAGTGAATGTATTATATAGCAGGCCATGTGTCTCAAAAGCATGTGGGAATGTTCCGGCAGGGCTTTATTCCAGTTTGGCTTCATGTTTGTGCCAAAGGACCCATAGCTGCTCTAATAAAGATACAGATACTTCTTGTTCAAAGAGGCAATGAATACAGCTTCTTTTCCTGGAACACAGCGACTCTATAGTCCGTCAGTGCTATGTTGTCCTCATTTCAACTGATTTTACATTTGTGTTTAAGTGTCTTCACTTTTTAGGTTTGAAATCCAAGAGGTTAGGATCCTTCATTTCTTAGGGGTTTTGCCAGTTTGCTGCACAGGTTAGCATTACATCTCTCCAGTCATTCACTGGATCAATAGTGAACTTTTACGTTTAGGGATAGGCCTGGATTTTGACACGTCTTAGTCCTTAAATTCTGAATTCTGAAGTTAAAGCAGTCAGTACAGTGCAGAGTTAACATCTTTCAAAGACTGCAAACACAAAGCAACTTGTACTGTGTTGTAATGTCACATGAAACAGTGGTTAGCACTTAGTTTAGCTCTCTTTGTGTTCCTGTTGAGATATAGTAGGCTAAGCTTTTTGGCTGCAATCACTATAGCTGCAGAACCATAAATATTCAAATGAATATACTGTATATTCATTTGAATAAAGCCCTGCGCTGGGTTTCCTTTGGAGATGCTTTGGCTTTACGCTTGCATGTTCTGGAATCATCCAACTTGTATTTTATAGATTCTTTTCAAAAGCTATACTTTGTGATGGCAAGTCCTCCGTTGGATCCTAACAACCACAGGAACTTTTTCAAATGTCTCAAAACACAATCAGGTAGAAAGGTTCCAGCCAGAGTTTAGCACGCTGTGAGGAACACTGACAGCAGAGGCACCAGTTCAGTGCTCCTCTGATCAAAACCTCGCCAGTATCATCACTGCTCCACTCTGCAATATATTACTTGAGAGCTAAACTTCAGAGCACAGCCTCGTTGTATTATTCTACAACAGTCGGATGACTGTTCTGGAATCATCCAACTTCTCTGCTGTCTTTATCATTCTACACAGATAAAGACTTATCTGTGTAGATTCAAATATATTTTTGACAGGGTATGTTCCAGGTCATTAATAAGAGTTTATGAATGTCACCCCCTCAGCTGTGTGTCAGATGCGGCTGTATGAGTGGATAAAGGTTGCTGGTTTGATGCTTCCTGTCTGTGTTCATGTGATGCTCGTGTCGTGCTAAACGTGTACAGAAAGTAACACGAGGAGATCCCCGCTGCAGAGATATGTTCAGGCTACACAACAATCAGATCTTCTGAAATAAGGAATCAGAAAGGAAATGACTGCAAGCATCAACTACCCACATCTCTGAGCCACTGTCTCTGAGCAATGAATGCAGTAATGCAGCCAAACATCAGCTGAGATATAACGGAGTACTGTCAGAGTCCAGATGCCTTTCTTTCAGCTTGTACTCAACGGCTACTTTCGGTTTGATTTAATAGAAGCGTTTCCAAGCTTGTGTTTCTTGTTTTGACTGTGACTGTTCTCTGATTGTAATGCTGCTGTCATCTTATATTAAAACATGAGAAGGTCTGTTGTTGGTAACTCTTTTTGCTCTGCTTTGTTATGCCTGAAGTACATGTATACACATCACAACAACTTACATTTCACTGATCTCATATTGTGCAAATACAAGTCATTTTATCCTCCAAATATATATTAGCAATTATATATTCAAATTCAATTAATACAATCATATATGTGTTTGTAGTGTGAATAATAATGATTAAATAGGGATGACAAAGATAGAATCATTGACTGATATGGAAATAAAACCAAAACTAAACTTCAGCAGGATGACATTCTGCTCCTGGTAGCCAAATACCCGAGATAAGAAGAATCTCAACATATTATAGAATGACTGACTATTTATGACATACTAAAGTAAGACATCTTTGTCACACTTTTAATTACTTTCAACATTTTTTTTCAACAATGTGACTATGTGACATACTTTTATGACATTTCAATAGAATGCTTTATGATGAAATACTATGATATGACTCATTTGACACCATACTTGCCATGAGTATGACTTATTTGATGGGTTTTTCATTACATTCTATACGAATGTATTTAACACACTTTTGAATGAAAAACGTATCTGACTTTCCTATAAGATACTATATGTAGTACTTTAAAACCACACAGTATTCTTTGGCTCTATGACTACTTCAGACTTTCCTTTTTTGACATTCATGACAAAGACTTTCATTTGAATACAGACAATACTCTTGACTTTTGACTTTGTTATAGCATACTCTTCTATCATATGTATTGTTACATTTTTATTCCATAATATTCTATGACTTCATGACATGCTGTACTATGAAATCTTATACATTATAGTTATAGTAAACTATCATTATTTGTATGGCGTAATGATATTTCAAGTGAAAAACTATAATATGATTCATTTGACTTAATTTTGCTGATATTACTGACGTTTACCCACATTTTTTACAAGTTACTATTTAGTAACTCGTAAAAAATGTGGGTAAACTTCAGTAATGTATACCAAATGATGAGAGTCTTTTTCACCAACAAAATATACTCTGATTTATTTTTCAACATGCTATACTGAAACTCTTAGTTATACTAAACTAGGACATTTATGAAAATTAGTCACGGCATACTTTTTTTAGTATATTTATAATATATAAACTATTTTTGCTACAGCACAGAGCTTTGAGTCAGAGCAAACATCCGGTCTGCACCCCAACATCCGGTCTGCACCCCAACATCCGGTCTGCACCCCAACATCCGGTCTGCACCCCATCATCCGGTCTGCACCCCAACATCCGGTCTGCACCCCATCATCCGGTCTGCACCCCAACATCCGGTCTGCACCCCAACATCCGGTCTGCACCCCATCATCCGGTCTGCACCCCAACATCCGGTCTGCACCCCAACATCCGGTCTGCACCCCAACATCCGGTCTGCACCCCAACATCCGGTCTGCACCCCAACATCCGGTCTGCACCCCAACATCCGGTCTGCACCCCAACATCCGGTCTGCACCCCAACATCCGGTCTGCACCCCAACAGAATAGAAAAGCTGGCAGTTTTGAATGCAGCTAGAGTTGAGTGGAGAAAATGAATCTATAGCAGATGTTCATATTGACTTGCCTAGATATCACTTTTTCTATTTGACTGGAGCTTAGGCATTTAGTGAAGAATCTCCGAACCTCTAAGAGAGCAAGGCACTGGATCAGAGCCTCTGAACGACCACTATTGTGACCCACTCAAAGTACACACTACTTTCCCATTCCAACAGCCAGGATCCCTGTGATCAAGGAAGATCTTTAAAGATGTCTATAAATCACCTGAAGTGAACATGAATCACATTTCTTTGATTTGAATGTGGTGGTTGTTCATGTTTATTTTGATAGTCACATGAACAATCTGAAATATTGTATTCACAGTTCAGCCCTGGTTTGGGAGGTATGTGTTTTATTCTTTTTATTATTCTTGTTATTTTGAGGTGTTAAATGAATCACACAGTCAGTTGTGGGAGAAATGTGAAGAACATTTCATTTGTAATGATTACTCTTCAGCATTTCAGTTTCCTAGTGAAAGGCATGAGGCATCACTCTGTGCTGAACAACAAATGGAATGTGAAAACATCCTTTATAACAAAAAGGTGGAACATCCAGTTATAAATGCATTTGCAAACTAAAAACATTTATTACGAAAAATGATATTTGGAATGACAGTAAAAAAAAAGCTTGTTAGTTGACCTTGAGTTTGGGATATGTTTTCAAACTACAGGAATGTTACAAAAACAGCAGCTGCACTCCACAGGAATTATGGGTAATGCAGTCCCAACAGAAATAGAGAGATAATTAAGGCAATTAATTAATTAATGTAAAACTAAACACACGCAGCTGACACTGATCTACAATATTAAACAAGGTGTAAACATAAATCAACATACATGAAATAAAACAAATCCCCAATGTAAACTGCCACACAGTAAGGCCTACAGCAGAGCCATGGACTCTCTGGGGGGCTCATACGGTTCTAAATAAAGCTAGGACCCTCACAACACTCCAGTTACACTGTT